TGTTCATTGTGGGGAATTGTGGGCGGTTTTAAGGAAGATACAAAATGCACTCGGTGCCAGAATGCCTCTGGGTCCATGTCAACATATTCTCTTCTTAAATAAAAGAACTCAAAGCGTGACAGTAAGTAGACGCCAGGCTTGGCTCCCGTGGACGCCCTGGGCTGAGCAGTGCAGCCAGACAAAGGGCTGCGCCCCCAGCTCCACCGGGAAGGCCGGCCGTGCGGCCCTGCACTCTGCAGAGATGCACGGGGGTCCTGAGACTGGGGACCAGGGAGAGCGGGCCTCTGGTCCTTGGAATCGCCCATCACGGGACGATTAGCTGGAGCGTTCTGGAAAATATTATTGCCCCCAGGGCGCTGCGGAGCTCCCCAGCTCCTGACAGGCTGCCAGCACAGCGCTCCCTGCGGCGCGGGGCTGCGGCTCCCTGGCAGCGCGCCAGGGGGTTAAGAAGGCCCTGGGGGCCCCAGGCAGCCTCCTGGTGCCAGTCAGCGTGCATTGTGAAACCCAACTCAGAAACCCACCCCTGCCCCCGCCTCACCCCCTACCCCCGCTTCCCCTCTGCGGCTGGCACAGGGGCCCTGGTTTGGGGGCTGGCTTCTGCTCCGGGATCGTTTGGAGAAGGGGGTTGTTTGCACGGTGGCCTTTGATGTGAGCCACCATTGTCACATTCTGTGAACTGCACCACACAGGGACTGTCGGCACAAAGACGGGCCCTCACCCTGCCCCGTGTAACAAGAGGGCTTACGGGTTTCCCCAACCCTCCGTCCCTGGCCGCACAGAAACAGTGTCTCCTGTGGGAAACCTCGGTTGTTAACAGGCCCCTTTGACGTGGGCGTCGCTAAACACGGCAGAAATCCCAGGAGTGGTTTGTCCAGAGGTGCTGTACCTCGAAATGCTGTGTACGTATGCTCACAGTCATATTTGTAATTTTTCTTTGCTGCAATTTAAAAAACGCATTTGGCTACACGGTCTTCAGGCATCCTACCACTGTGAAAATAGTCCAGGGGAAAAGTCGTGTAAATTTTGGTCACTCAGAGCAGTGACAGTCCCAGAGCCATGAAAGCCACAGGGCAGAGGAAAACCGACCTGGGAATTCCTGGTGTCTCAGCTCCCAGGTTTGGTGTGGATAAAACGGACAGAGGAAGGCGATGTGTTTAGTGGACTCTGGTGTCTGGATACTGTGCACACACACACACACACACACACACACACACACACAGAGGTGGATCGGGACACGAGTGTATGCACAGAGGAAGAGTGGAGATTGGGTCCAGAGTTCCTTCTGTGAAAATGTAGCAACAAGCCTCGTTCAAATAGCTGTCCAAGCGAAGTCTACAAGAAGAGAAACATTGTATGTTTATGTAGCCACTCACTGAACCCCTGCTCTCGCTGAAGGGCACACACGGGGCGCCTGAAGTAGGAGGGACAGGGGGGTATTTGGCCCTTTTTCGGAAACTAACTAAACTAGCGGTTTTGAGTTTGTTTCTTTGTCTGCTTGTTTGTGTCACGGGGAAGACATCCCTTTTTTGTACCAAGAACAGGATAAAGCAGGAAGACAGGAACCCAGCTCTCATAGAGGAGACGTATGTGAACATCGTGGGTGCAAGGGGGTGACCTGGTGAGGTTCAGGGCTGTTTTTGATGGGCTGACCATGACTTTGAGGGGTCAAGTTCATAGGGTACAAATGGAAAAAAAGTCTTGGAACCTTGCATTTTTCTTTTGTTAACATGACCCCTGGAAAGATCTGAGGGAAAGCCATTATAATCGAATGACGATCGGTCCTCGTTTCGGATTCTTAACTCTTCCCCTTTGCAGGTTTGTGTTTTTGTTATTGTATGAAGTTGGACCAAGTAGGGACTTCAAAGGAACTGGTTACAGAGTGTGAGCCGCAGCCGCACAGTAACACTTTAACCTTCAGACGCCGGGGGAGGCGTTGTCCACCCTTTTAACCCCGTGAATGACGTGGCCATCCCACATGCCCCACCCGCGGTCACCTGCGTGTTGACAGAAAAGGAAAAAAAGTTGCAAAAGACATTTTCCCAGGCCTTGTTCAGCCTCTGAACCACACCGTCGCTCCTCCACGCCCAGCCGGTTTCGTTCTGGAAACCACCCAGGTCACGCTGACCCAGGGAAGCCTCCTGAGGCTTGTCGGTCACCAGGCCCCGGAGTGTGGGAACGGCCACCGCCAATGGCCATGGCCACCCTCTGTGTCTGGCAGGAGCCGGCGATGAGACGGAGCCCTGAGCGTCTGCGCCCCAGCACTGGTGGTCGATGCTGTGAGCTGCTCCTTGCTGGCGGTGGGGGCGCCGAGGCCTTGGGTGCCAGCCGAGCACTGTCAGTGGGCAGCCCCTGCCCAGAGCCCCCCTGGACACTCACCCAGGCCCCGGGGGTCAGCCCGGCACTTTCCGGGACCTCGCTGTGTTCCCTCCGACCCGGCCCTCGCCCCCCAGCCCACGCGCAGCCCCCCCTCACAGAGTCACGGACCCACAGGAGGGCCTAGTGCTGGTCAGACACCACGGGCCGTTCCACCATCTCAGCACCGATTGGAGATCAGCACCAACTCCTAGGTCCTTACTGCGTCAGTCTGTGTCCCCTGGTGTCACGGCTCATGGCTCCCGACTCCTACTCTGAGGGCCTGCAGCCCGGCACGGGGGGTGGGGGGAGCGGCAGGCTGGCTCTGGCGCGGCAGGTTTCAGACAACGCCAGGGGGTGACCTCAGCCCTGCGGGGGGGGGGGGGCAGTGGACAAGCAGAGGGCAGACGCTCAGCGGCCACCAAGTGTGCCGCTCCGGGCCGCTCTTCTCCCTCAGTCGGTGGCCCAGAGGCTGGAAAGTGACTGCTGTGTCCTCTGGGGTGAGGCAGTTCTGCCAGTGTGCCCTCCTGCCCCCTGCGTGCCCCTCCCCCAGTGGTGAGGAGGTGGGAGGGGCTCTGGGTTCAAAAGCAGCGAGACTGACTGAGGAGGCGGCGGGATGCACACCGCCCACCGCGGGGTGGGGGCGCCGTGCGGGCAGGGGCTGGCCCACCGCACCTGGGGCTGCCGCTCAGACCACCGTCCTCCTGGGCCGGCCTGGGCTCCGGGTGGGAGAGCCGCTCGGCCCGGCCGCGGAGGTCGCCGTGCTTGCCTCAGGGTGTCGCCTCCTGCAGTCATTGAACAGACGGACGAACAAAGCAAAGGAGTGTCCCTGCTCGAGTCGCAGCTGCAGGTGGGGGTGGGTGGTGACCAGCGTGTGGGCAGCGGGCTCTCTGTCGGGGCCCGAGTTCCAGCCCCGCGCCTGGTGGCGGCAGAGCAGGGGCCGCCTCCGCTCTGCCCGCACGAGTGGCCTGCGCACAGGTTGCGGGGTGCGGGCCCCCCGAAGCGCCGAGCCTGACCCACGGGGAGCCCACATCTGCGCCCGGGGTGACGCAGGAGCCTGGGTGGCTGGCTCGGTTTCATCTGCCTGCTTCCATTTGCGATTGTTGTTTTTTTAAAGAAAGAAACATCGGGAAAACATTAGCTCTGACATTGACTGTACCCCCACGTGTAACAGTAATTGCAGGGCCTTCAGGAAAAAAAGCACCGTTCCAATTTGGGGCCAGCCAGCCGTGACAACGCTGCTAGACCTTCTGCGATGACGCCAGGCCGCCAGGCGCGCACGGGGGCCGGAGAGACTTCCGGAAGCAGAGGCCCAGGGCGCCCGCGCTGCTCTCCGGGCCCATCCTGCAGGAGCTGTGTCCTGACCCCCCCCTCCCGAGGTTTTGGCTGTGAGCTGGTCAGTGGCCAGTTCACAGAGGACCCCGCCACTTGACCCTCCCTGGGAGCCTCCGAGGTCCCGAAGCCCACACGCTTCCCCTCCCCACCTCCCCGTCTCCAAGCGTCTGCGAGCGTTCAAATGCAGAGTCAGGTTTATTGTTTCTATCTCGCTTATTTTAAGTATAGTCTTACACTTTATTACGTGCGGTGACATCTTAAATGGAGCCTGTCACTCCGTCGTGCCTGCTGCCAGGGCTCCAGCCGTTCACCGCGTGGCGCGTTTCGGCGGCCTGATGAGGGGCAGCGGAAGGAGCGGCTTGGGTCCGCCCACCCCCCAGAGTGGGTTCCCTGTGTACACGAAGGAAGATTCTAGAACAACAGGGGCCAGGTTCTGAAGTGAGAGGATTCCAAGTGGACGAAGTTTGGCCTGGCAGATCTCCCCCCGCCTCTCTGAGAATAACATTTTGTTGGGTTACTTCGTGCCCCCACACAGTAACAACAACACAAGACAAATCAAAAGTCTCCTCCTCCCTGAGGCCCCCCCCCCCCCCAGCCAGAGCGGCCTCTGCAGCCCCTCCTTTGCGGAGCAGCCCGGAGTAATTTGAATATTTCATTCTCCGGCTGCTGACGCCGCCTGCCTCGCAGATGGGCCTGGCTTCGTCCTTCTGGACCCGGTTCAATTATAGATGAAAGTGGGGAGCTGAGATTTGTCTCCTTGTCTCTGCTGAGTGGGAGTAACACAATGAAGCGCGATGGGCAGGCATTTCTCAAACTGCCTCCTTCTGCTGGTGGGGGAGTCCTGACCAGGCCCCTCGGACCACGTGGTCGAACTCACGTTAGAAGTCAAGTGCGTACTTCTCTGGGGGGGGACACTCCACCCTCTCACTTGGACCGAGGCCACGGTCTAAAAGCACAGGCAGCCTCTGCCCGCCCCCTGCCACGCCCTTTCCTCAGTGGTTTCTGTTTGTCATCGACCCCATGGTCTGTGCAGGAACCTTGAGGACAGCCGCGTCCCTGCTCTGTGTCCTTAAAAGGCCGGTCCCCTCACAACACACCACTTGGGGCCACGGTGGTGGCCAGGGGTGGCGCTGTTCTTCCTCTGCAGACATGCACGCCCAGCTCAGCATGTCAGCACGCAGAGCTCGGAGACACGCGTGTGGTCACACAGGCGCACACTCGTGAGGCACTAGTCGCATCTGCGTGTGTACGCATGCACACGTGTGGGCGTGCTGAAAGGCATGGGTTTGGAGTGTTTTTAGAAGTCAGGAAAATCAGCCTTGACTATGTTCTTTTATTGGGGCGTTATTTTTATCAGCATTTTTGGTAAAGAGTCTAGCACACTGTTAGCCTCCAGCTCTGTCCCTTAGGATCAGTGTGAGGCTCCCCGGTAACCCCCGTTCAGGGTGCTAAGTGGGGGGCCAGCGCAGTGCCCAGACGAGTTACCGAAGGAGTGACTCGTGCAGACACAGTGACTCAGAGAAGGGGGGAAGCACTGACCGTGCTTCTTCTGGACGGATCAATGGTTGATTGATTGCTGTTCATCGGATCCCGTGGGGGTCCCGTGACGACCTTCTTTCCCATGCCCCCCTCGCGTCGGGTGGAAACCAGCTCTGTTGCAGCTGCCACGCTCACCGTGAGGCTCCGCCCATGCTTTGCAGAGGCGTGGGAATTCACAGGCTCTCCTAGCCACCGCCTTTCCACAGGCCTCAGTCACAGAGGGACAGAGCAGGAGGCCTGTGGAGAAATCGCCGTTTTGAGAGAGGAAGGATTCGGGGAGGCGGGAAGAGCCGGCGCCTGGGCCAGCACAGCCTGCACGCGCAGCCGGGCCCAGGGCCCTGTTCTCACGGTCCCACAGCTCTCAGCTTCGCGCCTCGCATCCTTCCTCCCAGCCAGTCGGCTGTGGTTTTCAAAAAATTCGACTCCTTTTAAAAGATAGATGTGCTTCCTTCTTGTGTCAGCTTGTGGGGGCCGCCTTTGGGGGTGACCTTGCCGTTGAAGCCCGGGCTCTGCAGCGCAGAGGCGAGAATCCTTCCGTAGGCCCCGAGGCCCCAGCGCTCTTGGCGGGGCATCTGTGATCCTAATGGTCGTGGGGACGCAGGTGAAACCTTGGGACTGAGTGGACTCGAAACGCCGCTAGTCCCACTGCCCCGGAGCTGGGGAGTCGCCTGGCAGAGGTGCGGCTGGTGGCCGCGCCCTTGAGTTTGTCACAGAAGGGGCGGGCGCCTCTGCGTGACCCTGCAGGACGTGCGCGGCTCCAACCCTTTGGCGCAGCTGTCCATAGGTCCCGCGTCCACATAGCACATGTGACAGCGGAGCCTGCTCCTCGGCCTCCGTCGCGGTGACGCGGGGCTGACCCGTCCGTCACCGTGCACACTGCCGGTCCCTGCAGCACCAGGGGACTCTGCGGGGCCGCCCGCCCTGTCCTTGTCTCATTCCAGCCCCGGAGGTTCTGAGCCGTAATTCGGTTGTCGCGTCCTGTGAGTTTTCGGCAGCAGCCCTGTTTTCTTTCAGCCCTTGTGAGTCTGTTGGAATTCGTGGTCGACAAAGCTGTAGTCCATCTGCGTGGAGAACAACTTGGTTGTGGCGACTTGGGTTGTCAGGCCTCTCTGTGAACCGTACGGCGGCGGGCGTAGGCCGCACTGTCCCCACGGTGGTTAGGGCGGTGTGTTCCTTTAGCACTATCGAAACTGCTCTCCGTGTCCATGGTGTCAAAAGACGTCATTCTCCCAATGTGAGGCTTTTGTTTCTCCTTTTAAGTCCACTCGTCGTGGCTCCCACCCTCCTGGGCGGCGGCCCGCCCTCCGCAGGGCGACTTCCTGCTCCAGGAGACAGGTGGCCCTTTGGTTGGGGGTGAAAGCACTGTCCCTGTGTCCGGGACTTTCTGCCAGCGGCCCATCAGCTGTGTGAGGGGCCGACCTGCCCCTCCGTCCCACGCGCCCCCCAAGAGAGAGTCCCGACCGGAGGTGGCGGGTGGCAGACAGGCACGTGTGGAGCCCTCTCAACTCGCCACGGCCCCGCCTCCGCCCAGCGAGCCGAGCAGTTGTCTTTAGGGTTTGTGCCTGCAAGCGTGCATGCGGGAGTGCGTGTGTGCATGTGTGCACATGTGTGCAGTAGAGTGGGGACTGGAGGGCAGAAAACACGTTTTGATGTGTGGGCCCCGGGGCAGAGAGAAGATGCAAACTCCTTCAAAAATTCAGAATTTCATGACAGCAGCATCAGTGCATCAAACCTGGTTCCTGGGACATGGGCCCCGAGGGCCGGCCTAGAACCCCCACCCTCAGAGCAGGAGGCTGGGTTTGGAGCACAGGAAGACCCTGAACCTTCAGTGCTTCCTTGGGCCCCCCGAAATGGTGCGGGAAGAGGTGTATGCATGTAGGGCCGGCCACAGGGTATGGGGGCGCAGGGTGGCTCCTTGGGTCGCCCTGGCCGAGGGCACACCGGGAGCTCCGGTCACAGGAGGACTGGGGCTCTGCATTGACGGCTCCCGACAAAGTCCGACTGGGAGCCCTGGACAGGGTGGAAACTTGGGAGCCGCCCAGACATTTTCAAAACATGGGCCTTCCACCTCGCTGCCAGCTCGGATTTGGTGCGTTTTCAAGTCCCATGTTTGTGATTGTAAGTGCGGAAAGGCCTGTCCCCAAACCTTTCCCGTGTCTTCCTAGCACAGAAGCAGGCGAGGCAGAGGCTCGTGCACCGGGAGGGCCGCTGCCTTTCCTGGAGGTCGTCGGCGTCCACGGCACTGCCGGCTGGCCTGGCCCCCGTGCCCGGGCTCCTCTCGTCCGCCTGGAACCCAGACTCTGCACTTGACAATGGCTCCAGTCTTTCTGCCTTTTCTCTTAAACAGCTTTCTTAAAGCCCCAAGAGGCCCTTAAAAAAATAAAAGAATGCAAATGGAAATTGTGCTGGAGCTGAAATGAACGTTGCTGTGAGTCATGGGATCCTGGCCGCACGGGGACGGACTGTTTTTTATTTTGGGTAATATTTCTTCTTCGGCATTTATTACACCTCTGTTAAACACAGCTCGGGGGACACGGCGTTACTCACAGGCAATCAGAGAGAGAGCTGAAAGTTGAGCCGCGGTGGGCCGGGCGAGGCGCTGTTAATAGCAGTCATTAAAGCTGAAAAGCACAATCACCCACCTGCCCCTGTCGCCCGCTCAGGCTGGGCCGACAGGAAGGGGGCGGACGGCGGAAACCGGGCTCCGAGCGGGGGAAGGGAGCCGACTTCAAGGCTGGGCCTCCCCAGGGTGTGGAAACCCACGGGTCCCCAGAACCCAGGGACCGCCCGAGTCTGACCCTCCTTGCCCACGACCCCGTTTACCTGAAGGTCACAGCCTGCTGCGAGGTGCCTTTCAGGGACTCAAGAAGCTCCGTGGAAAGGTGGGCGCTGCGGTGGTCCTTCTCATTCCGCAGCGCTCTCTGCTGCGGGACTGGTTGGGAGCAGGTTCACCAGGCAGACCGAGACTCTGCCATGAGCCCCGAGGGTCCAGGAACACGATTGTTTCATTTTCAAAAAGCACACAGTTTCCAATTCTCTCCTACATTTTAAATTGTAGCCCGAGGGGCAGCACTGCTCAGCCCAGTCCCACAAGCCGCTGTCTGAGTGCTTGTCCCATGGGGCCGGGGGGCACGTCGGCCAGGGAGGCAAATTGGAGGGCACTTGGCACGGTGTGTCCGTGAAACCCACCGCGGGTTTGAAAGGAGGTGGCGGCTGCAGGTGCAGGGACCGACCCCTGTCGGCAGAGCACTGCTGATCTGGAACATTCCAGTAGAAACTGCACTTGTGGCTTGGAGGGTGGACCCCCCGCCTGCCACACACTCGGGTGGGGGGGCTTGGTGGGGCAGCCGGGCACACTTTCTGGGAAGGGCCAGCTGGCTGGCCCCCATGTGACCTCCAGGCAGGCCGGCCGCCCGGGCAGAGCTGGCAGAGCGGGGCGCAGGAGCAGTCCTGGCCTGGCGGAGGGCCGTGCCCGCTGACTCAGGCCAGGCCAGGGGGCTGTGCTCGGGGGCCGGTTTCTCAGCTGTGGCCCTGAGGAAACTCGTGGTAGAGCTGGGCTCCCCCTGCGTTGGGCGCCTCTGTCCCTAAGAGCGGTGGCTCTGGCCTCTTGATGTTGGGGACACTGTTCTGAGCCCTAGGATTGTTTGGGTTGCGCTTCGGAGTGAAGGTTGCAGTCCCCCGGGGTCTTCGGCACCTCCCCACTTTGTGGACAGAGCGTGTTTCCTCCGACCCAGCCCTGGAGTCAGGTGGCCGCGCACGACCCTTCCGATGTGGCCCCACTGTCTTCCCATGGACCCTGGGCTGGCGGGTTGTGCCGGGTTGACAGGACGGGGTGGCCCACCCAGCCCCACGTCCCTCTAACAGCGCGGTGACGCACGGTGCGGCGGTCTTCTGAGTATTGGCCGTTGCATGGTGGCCTGTTGAGTCACGACAGTGAGCTCCGCGCTCGTGCTTGTTGTTCATGGGTCCGACCGTCCTGGTGGCAGGAGCTGCAGGACCAGAGCGTAAACCCGAGACGCCGTCCTTTTCGGGCGAGGCGCAGGTCCCTCTGGAGGCACCAGAACAGAACAATGGGAAGTGGTGTTGTCTCCTCCCTCCCCTGCAGCTGATCGAGCAGAGACCCTCCCCCTGCACAGCAGAAACGCTGGCCTCCCAGTGAGACGGCAGGTCTCTGTCCCGGACACAGGAAGCACGGCTCCGCCCTGGTGCACGGCTGGGATTTCCAAGGCCGGTGCAGACGGCTTTTTGATTTCCGCGTCCCCTGGGCCCCTGTGTTGCACCCCGCGGGCCTTGGCCGCCTCTGTGCCGAGCCGTGCCTCTGTGCCACGGGCGCTGCCGAGGTCGCTGTGTGGCCAGTGGAAGAAGATGTCTCCTTGGTCACGGTCTGGGGACATTATGCTTCTGATGGACCTGAAAAATGCATTCAAGTGCAGTGACTTGCAGGCGTTGCCAGGACCAGAGGGAGCAGACTTCTCCCCATGATCCTGCGTGTCCCCGTCTCACCGTGGCTGCCTCCCGCGCAGTCACCGCTGTGGGCGTTCCCTGTCCTTCCCTGCAGGTGCCCAGGGCGCCAGCGGCCACAGCCCAGCAGGAGTGGACGGGGCCCTGAGCCAGGTCCAGTCAAGCCTGGTCACACTGCTCGGCCGTGACTCCAGTGGCTGATCTTCCTGGGCGGGGGCAGCGGGGCCTGCTCCAGCGGGCAAGCCAGTTGCCGCCCGGTGTGTGCCACAGGCCCGGCGAGACCGGCGTCCGTGGACTCCTCAGGGGGCGTGTTAGCACGTTGGCCTCGGAGTGCACTGGCCCCAGGGCACTGGCCTCCCCGGCCTCAGCTCACACTAGGAGGGACGAGAAGCGGAGTCTGGATTTCAGCACTTTTCTCTCGGTCTCTATGCCAGCAGCTAAATATTCACTTTTGTTAACCTGTAAACCGGAGGAGACAGATCAGACTCTGAGCCAAAGGCTTTTGTTCCCAGGACCCCGGCCAAAGGTCAAGTGCAAGACTGACCCCAGATTCCAGGGTCTGGTTGGGGAAGGCTGCACGAGGGAGGAAGACCATGGGACAAAGTGGGGTGTGGTGACCCCGACAGCCGCAGGCCTAGCACCTGCCACGGGGCAGGGAGACCGCCACCGTGGCCATGCCAGTGCCTTCACGGAGCTTGCCACAGCTGTGGCACGGGAGCTGCCTGGCCCCTTCCTCCCAGCCCGCTCCTGTCTGGAGTGCCATCTGGGGCCAGTGGGGGCACAGTGGGCAGAGCCCCTGCCTCCACGGAGCAGGGAGTGCGTCTGTAAGGACTCTGCCACGTGACGTGGGCATGCGGGAAGCTGCTGTGCTCGGAGTCCCCACCCCCTCTTGGAGAGCGGAGGGTGTCCTGTCCCCAGATGCAGAATTGAGGTCACACTTCATCTCGGTTCATAGGCAGGCAGGTCCTACAAGGGGCTGCCGCATCAGTGGCAGGGAGGATGGGGCGACCAGGTGAAGGTGAGCGCAGGTTGATGTCTGTCTGTGCATCCGCCTGCGGCAGCCGTCACCAGAGTGAGAACACCGGGGTCAGTGTCAGCACCTTCTCTGTGACCGTGGCGCACGCAGGGCCTCTGGGCGGCACACGCCCTCGGTGCCACGCTGTTGCAGCTCCTCGCGGGCAGGCGTCCGTCTTTGGTTCCTGTGTCCCCTGGACACCGGCCTGCCGCACACAGGAAGCTCTCAGGAAGGAGGTTTCGATGTGATAAGTGGAGAAAGAAACGAATTAATGTTTCACAAAGGAGGGGCAGCCCAGGGCGCACGCACGTGAAAGCCCTGAGGTGTTTACTGGGCGTTTCTCCCCACGAGGCAGGGACTCTGTCCCTGGGGACGTGGCTGCTCCTTAGGTTAAGTGGCACAGCCAGTGACAGGCAGGACAGACACCCCTCGGGGCTGAGTCCGTGCAGGGAAGGACCCCGTGACATGTGACTTAGAGGAAGGGCCCCTGTGTTGTTGTGTCTGGGCCCGGCATCTGGTCACCCGATGCTTCTCGGCCCGCAGGCACCCTGTCCCTCCGTGCTCCCTGCCTGGCTTTCCCTCCCTGGTCCTGTTTCTCCCCCATCTCTCTGTCCGCCTTCCAAGGGGAACCTCGACTGTCCAGACCAGCACATTCTCCACATGCAGGAACCGCACCCGGGGGGGGGGGTCCTCTTCCTTCCAAATCCTCCCAGGAACAGCCCAGAGGCACCGTGCAGAGGCTGCTGCCCACGAAGGCAGAGCCGTGGGAAGTTCGTGCCGCGTCACGGGCCCAGCTCAAGCCAGGCTGTCTCTCAGGTGCGGGGTGTCCCTTTATGCTCTTTGGGGCGGCGGGACCAAGCCTCGTGGAGGCCAGCACCCCATCGCCGTGTACAAGGCCTGAACCGCGAGGCCTCAGCCGGGGCCCCAGGCAGTGCCTCAGTCTGGGTTCTGGGTTCTGTCTGTGTTCTGTCTGGGTGTGAGTATGGGGTGGGGGTGGGAGGACCGGCGGGCAGGGAGCCTGAACGCAGGAACTGGCAGGATCCTCGGCGGTCGTCAGGGGCACACCCCGACGTCGTCCCGGCACCTCCGAAAGACCCCTGGCCTCCCAGAGTCCGCAGGCGCCAGAATCCCCATGTGCATCTCAGCACCCCCGCAGGACCGGACCGCGCTCCCTCGGGGGTCGGGGCCCCGCGCCCCTGACCGCCGCAGGGTAGAGGGTGGCCCTGCTGTGCATGCAGGTCACAACTCTCCGCCCTTGTGGAAGAGTGGGCCACCGCCTGGTCTCCCCAGCGTGTGGCTGCCGGCCGCAGGTCCCAGCCTTCAGTCTGTGCCCGGGTTTTTGGGTCTCCCCCGAGGCCAGTTCCTGGGGCGCCCTCACGGCACCGCCGGAGAGAGATGCACACAGGTGCGTCCATCGTTCTCAGGACACTGGGTCAGCGAGTCTGCCACCTGCGGTGTCACAGCTGTGACGTGTGGCGGCTCGAAGATGGGAGGCCGACAAGATTCCGTAACATTTTCGTGTTGTTTGTTCCTGTAGGAGACAGGAATGTACGTTACATAAACGCGCAGCCACCTCAACCAGGTGTTAGTCCTGTCTTAGCTGGAACCCCCGCAGCACCTCTCCCTTCCCTGGGAGCCCAGTGTCACTGGGAGCGTGTGAGGCAGAGAGGGCCCCAGCGTCCTGGTTTGCACACGGGCAGAGCCTCCTGGGGGCTGTCAGACCTCCCAACCAAGGGTTCAAGGCCGAGGCCAGCGCCATTCACCACTGAACAGCCACAGCACCGGGACCCGGACTTCACAAGGAGCCAAGAGCCGTTCTGCTCTTTAACACACGTCTTCACGGCGGTGCTTCCCGGTGGTCTGGTGAGCGCGCAGCACGGCGGCTTTGGGGTTCACGCCGAGACTGAACCGGACGGAGGGCGCTGGAGCTGGGAATCCGCGTGTGTCATGGCGGCCGTTTTCCTGGGCGCAGACCAGTTCGGGGGGACAGAGAAACGAAATCCTGCTCCTTCCTTCCTTCTTTCCTTCCACATCTGTATTAGCTTGGGTTGGTTAAGCCACCAAAACAAACAAAATAAAACCCCTCCCCAAGCCCCAATATAACTTGGCTTAAATAAAATACAAGTGTATTTCTCTCTCATTTTCACACCGTCCAAGGCAACCATCTAGCTGGTCTCTAGCATATGAGAATATCTATCTGGTTCTGTCCCTTGGGCGGCTCCCACTCCCCAGGCCAACTCAGGGCCCCGAGTGGCTGCTGGAGCCCCAGCCATTGTCCTCGCCTTCCAGCTAGCAGAAGAGAGGGAGCAAGAAAGGCTTTCCTTCATTTGGACGTTCCTGGGCGTTTTGTGTGCGACTTCCACTCATCTTATCACGGACCAGAAAATTCTGTCACGAGAGACAGTACCACATCCAGCTGCCAGGGAAGCAAGAAAGTTCCCCTCCTCCCATGAAGTCACCTGAAAATTGGGGCTCTTCCAGCCCGTGGGTTCTGCCAGCTCGTAAATGTCTCTGGGGTCACAGTGCATGGTACACAAAATAGCTGCCAGTGGTGGCTGCCAAGGTCACAGCCAGTGTCCGCTCAGCGAGTCCTCCTCGCCCTGTTCACAGAAAACACTCATGTCATCTTCACCCTCACTCCACTTCCCACGTGTAGGTGGGAGGGGACTGTGATTCCAGTGAGACAGAGGGGCCACATCACAGAGGCAGGAGGACGGAGTGGGCTAGAGGGTCGCGCCCCTCGCCCTGATCACAGAGCCCGCGTGCGGCCCTGGCTGGAGCCTGCTCTTCTCCGTCCGTGGTGCCCTCCTCTGTCCGCCCTCACTCTGCACCCCGCGGGCCGTGGGGCTCATCTGCAGACGGGTGTGTGACCATCTCGTGGGAGGGGAAGCACGCTCGACGGGGCCACGGCAGCGGTCAGCAGTAGGATTTCTCTGGTGACCGGG